TCGATTTTTTTTACAAATATTTTCAAAGAAACTTCATGTAAAAATTCCTTCTAAATTCAAAGTTACGATAAAAAAATAGTATTTTAAAACTTTTCCCATCTAAAAGGCTAATTAGATTTATTTTATCTAATCTAATTAGATTTGTTTACATTTGCATTTGAACAAATACCTTGTGTTAGAGAGTGAGATCCGTCGAAAGAATGATGGACTGTAATCAATTATAAAAGTTTATTGATCAATAGAAAGGCAATAGGGGCCTTAAAGGCATCAATAGGGGCCTTAAGGATCACAGCTGTACGCTCTTGCTAGCACTGATGGCTATTACAAAAGATGGCGTAGGAACGCAAAGGAACAACCGTTCTGCTCGCGGTCTACAGAGATTCTTCTGCATTGACGCCCCCTCTAGTCAGATGAATGTTACAACAATAGGATGGGATGGAACACCTTGTATTAAATCCCCTGCATTACACACAAAATGTTTACATGTACAGTTTTATACAAATATGTAGTTAAGCATGATAGGACAGTTAACTCATTATCATATCTATCTACATATTTATTAATTTCAAGAATGCAATTAAATAGCTGATTAAAATTTCAAGAAATTTTTATTAATTGTGTAAAAAAACTTTTACAACTATAGTTAATTCAAATCATTTGAAAATTTCAACTCCTCAAACTTTTATTGTTTCAATTCAAATGACAAAAAATAAAATAAAAATAAAATCTGAAAGCTTTTAAATTTTATATTACGGCCGAAGGGGCGTTTTTTTAACGTTTTGTGTGTGACCTTTATTTATTAAATATCATGTTCTTCGGACTTAAACCACATAAAATTCAATTCAACAGCAATATCACAAAATATTTTAAAATAGCATATCTTTAGAATTTCCGATAGACAGTCTGACGCGCTGTAGATATATATATATATTTTTCCCTGCACAGTGTTGCTATTGAAATCGTTGAGTTTGTTAATAAAAATTTCATTAACGTTTTACAAAAAATAAAATAGATAATAAAACAAATTTGAAATTCGGGGCTTCAGGTGCCCATGTTCGGGTGGAGGATTACGTTTTTCAAAATTTAATGGCTCTAGGTACCGTTGTTTTTTGACAATGCGAAAACATACCTATATCCATGCAGATTCTTTATTTAATTTTTAAATATAACACAGGGCTATAATGCTTGGTGGCAACAATTTAAAAAGTGAAACGGACATTTATATTGAAACAAGGCAAAATACCGTTTCGAAACTAATAGTCCTTCCCGCTACCGCCCCTTTTGGCTAACAATTATCTATGCAAGAGAATTTAAATATATAATTCTGTAAATATGTAATTATGTCTTAGTGTAGCCAAAAGATTATAAATTATTTCGTAATTTGCAGTCCTGTTCTTAATTCCCGTTATATCATGGTGCTCAAAATGATCGGAACCCATTAAATAGGCGTAAATATTTTTAAATTTCTGGTGTTCTGGGATTTCTTGTAACAATTGTTTCTCGTGAAGCTAAAATTTTAGAAGTTTAACATGGCGCATTTCACTTCTTTCTCCTCATGGTATAGTTTAATTCGTGATAGGGCATCTGCTAAAACATTTTCTCTCCCGTGAGTGTGTTTATTAAGTAGTATTCTTGCAGTTTAAGAGCCCACTTTATGAGTCTGGGTGATGAATTCTTCCCAGAATATACTCGTGCAATGGCCGCACGTTAATGAAAGTTGAATGAAATGAGTGAATGGTGAACTTTAATGAGAGCTCTATGACAAACGCACAAGCCTAAAAACGATGTCAGTTTCTTTGCCATGTCAGGTGGTGGATAAAATCTTCCGTTTCAGTACCCTCTTAGACACCTCATAACTCAGGTAACGAAGTTTTTGGCTGCGAATTTACATTTTGCCGCATTCACTTTTAAACCTTTTGGAAGCGAAAAATCTTTGTACAGGTCCCGAATGTATTCGTCAATTGACTCGCTTGTGACTATTATATCATTTAAATAGATGAAAGTTGATTTCGCCTTCCCCCCGTGCACAGGTCTTAAAGGATTATAGCTCTTTGAAACGTCGCGGGTGCTCCGCATAGACCAAAAGGTATTTAAGGAAGGTGTAAACCCCTAATTTCATGATAAATGCGGTTTTTTGTGCGTCTTGTGATTTTACACATATCTGAAAATATCCGGAACTGAGATCTAACGTCTTCATGCGTTTTGTGGATTTAATATTCTTTATTATTTCCTGAATTATTCGTAAGGGCTAAGGTTGATATTTTGTTATGCTGTTTAGTTTTCTGCAGTCTGTCGCGAAACGATATGCATTAAAATCAGTGAGTGCGAAATTACTTTTCTTTCGGCATATAGCACTACAGAGTGGGCGTAGGGACTTCTTATGGAAATTATAAGTTTATATTTCAGCAGTTCGGAAATATACACTTTTATGATCTCCTTTTGACGTTGTGTTAGTGGTACGATTTTGCTCTACAGACCGGGGAGGGGATTTCTTGTTTTTATCTAGTGACGGGCCACCTGAAGTCTGAAACATTCCTTACCAACTGCTTGAGATTAGTTTTCTCTGTCGGTTTTAAATCCTTCAGGTACAAAGCCGGCGGCTGACCGTCGTTCCTGCCACGCCGAATAATCTGTAACGTTTAAAATATTCCTTAAAAAATCTTTCTACCAAAAACTACTTTGCGCCCGGTGTTCAATACTGCTTCTGCTGATAGTATTTAAAACAATTTGAATCACTGGGAGGGATAAATTTGAAATTAACACTGTATTTAATTGAATATGAAAGGGATTTTTTTCTATGGATTGACTGCAACTGCTTTATTGCAGCATCCCTGTGTAGTTTAAAGGTTTCTTATCTTCTCCCAGTTTCCTTTTTTGAAATTTACTTTGGCGATGGCCTTTAGCGGACGAAAATTTTTTCTGGTTATCAAATCATCAGTTCTGTTTAAATTTTGGCCTTCCTTCTGCTACAAGTTCGCGAAAACTTTGCTCATATTCCACTGCACACCAGGGTTTCTTAACACACACACACACACGGGTTGACCGAAAAGAAAGGGGAGGGAACGAAAAATTCCTGAATTTTAGGCAATTTAATTTGGATAACTTCCGCATCAGGTTTTTATCCCATACAATAAGTTCACCACCTGTTCTTTCCGCAAAATAAAATCCGACAATTTTTTCTGTCTTAGCCTGATATTTTTACCAAAATGTTCAACTTCTAATTTGGTCCTGCCTTTCACCACACAGAATACTTTCAAAAGGGTAATTTTAAACACTTCGAGCTTACAATTCTCGCTGCCTGGTTCTCCCAATAGAAATTTACCGATGTATTTGTGCCAGCTGTGGGCCAGCGTTCGAAGTGCAGCGGTCACCACGGATCTTCTGTAACGCTGTAACAGCATGTACTGAAAATGCGCTTGTTGTTCCAGGAAGACCATTAACGAACTTATTTCATCGAATGCGATGCTCGGTTTAATGGAAGCTCGTATGGGGCCTATTAAAAAACCGAAGCCTTCCATCCAACTTCCTGGGGCGGAAGGAACTTGAAATCTCGGTTAGAGGCAGGCTAAAAGTGACGTTGTCGACATGGTTCGTAATCAATTCAGGTGCCACTTCTAAGGTTGTATTTGGTCTGATACTTGAACTTTAGTCCTGCAACCCTACAAGATAACTAGCGTGTTATCGTTATGTCTGAAGCAGTGCAATAAAGACTTATAAAGGTTTAAATAATCTTTTTATTAAGCTGAACTTTTAACATAAAGGGCACGAATTGTGTTAGAGATAAACCACCACTTAAAGCGGATGTGCTTAAATTTAAACGTTACGTTGTCTAAGACTAGACAGTAAAATACTAAGTTACAAGCCGGCTCAAATGATTTACCGTAGCCTAAGTTTAAAGTATTGATTGCGAAGAAATGCAAAACCGAGATAATGGCATTTAGACAAGAAGAGCTGTCAAAAATCCAAAAGCGCAGCATAAGTACCATAAACCCTCTCTCTCGGATTAGGATATAAAAGCCTTCAGCTTAAGTACACCAAGTACTAATTTGCATTCTGGGGAGGAACACTGAAAGAAGAAACTAAACTAAAGATCAAAATCGTAATAACAGGTGAGTTTAACAAAAGAGCTCTTACATAGTTAAAAATACTGTGTACCTATTGTAAGAAATTTATAAAAAACTACAGAAATCAAAGGAAAACTAAATAAATGAATGTCCTTATGTTTGTTGTTGTTACTTATGCTCACTTGTCTGACGTAGTCAGCCCAAGCCCACGAAATTCCTCGTGGCAAGGAGAGCAAGATTAGGCCTGTCGTTGGCAACAGGTGACAGTGCGATTTAGCTCAGTTCCGCTCCCAATTTTGGTGGAGAGCATCCCTTAAGAGACGGGTTTGCACTCCCACTACTTCCACCAAACCACATGAGAGGACTTTAGGCTCACCGCATATTTAGAGTGCCACCATACCGCACCGACACTATACATTTACAAACATCCATGCCTTCTCCGGAATTCGAACCCGGGCCCTTCGTCAAGGCAGTCGCGTCGGTAACCGCTATACCAGTTGGGCGGCTCTTATGTTTCATAATTAATTAATGATCTTATAACAATGATTTCATGACGCATTCTATGTTTAATGATATGCATTCTGATCAGTTCGTGTTTAGACTTTTTAATAGTCGATAATTATAAACAGCATTAATCATTAAATGATAAGCTTTAAATTTAATTAGGCCCACCAGCGGCCGAGCGGTAACGTCGCTGAACACTGGTAGTTCGGTCCAAGGTTCGAATCCCGCGAACGGGCTGGCTGCACGGGTGTTTTCGTGGTTTTTTCCATGTGTAACGTGTATACGAACCAGTTTCCCTTAGAAAATCCTCCACGAAGGCATCTCTTTCCTTAGGCAGATAGCCCTCGAGGCTTTGCCGTAATTAGATAACCTAACCTAACCTAACTTTAAATTTAATTAATAATATGAAACTGAATTATTAATAAGCAACAATACCTTATAAAATTTGTTGTTTATTAATTAGATAGAATAATTTTTTTAAACACATTTCAAACAAATACACTTAGCATTAATACTAGAATAATGCACGTTTTTTTTTTTTTTTTTTTTTTTTGTTGTTGTTTTCCTCCTTTAAAATCTCTTTAATGTATGCATAAGATAAAATTTCTTTCACAATGTTCGCTTTCTCACTGTTTCTGCTCAGACAAAGATAATCCAGTAACTTAAACAATTATTTTATCTTCTTGTTCGTTTCCACTTATACTATATAAATTATGAAAAATGTAGGGATAGTAGTATCTTTTACATGTCTATGGTACTTAGAGATATAACATTAAAAAAGTCTGCCATTTCTTCTCTTGAAATGCATTAAGTATTATCAGTTTAATTAACACCACAAAAATATAAGCTTTCCCAATTACTCTTTTTGCACTCGTCAATAACTGTCTTCTCATACTTTTGTGATTTGTTGAGATCCTGAGAAAGCTTTAGGTTTCTTAGTTTGGTTGACACGTGCCTCGGATCGTTGTACGTATAAAATAAAGAAAATAAAATAAGTTGTACAAATTTCTGGAATTAACTCCCGTTTTGGGGGAGTTAGTATTCATAATTTTTTAATGTTTAATAGTGTATTTTTATGTTACTAAGCAAATGAAATTTAAGCTGTTAATTACATTTAAGTATGTGATAATCTTATCGATTCAATTAAAAATTGCGGCTATATTCATATACAAAAACATTAAGGAATATAATTCACAATTTGCGCGTTGCTTACAGTTTAAATCACACATACAAAAATGATATCAATAATTACGTTCATCGGCAGATGAAGAATTTACCCATGACTACCTTCACACGTACGAAAACGTGCTTACACCCAAATAATCAGAAGCATAACATGGACTGCAAAAAATGTATGCTTTTTTACCTCGTCGATTGTGGCACAATTATAGGTATTATTCATGATAACATTTCTTCATTCATTCAGGCTATCACGCAGCAGTCGGTGTTTTCATCAGAATCATCTTCCACCAGATTTTCGCTGTCATCCATTACATAGCGATACGAATTTCTCGCTTCTGTATATTCTTGCCTATCTGCAAAGTAAATGCCTGCTTCAGTATTTAAGATATCGCCCCACAATAGCCTGTCTGGTTGTGCAGGTCGATTGGAGGCCATTCCTTTTCTGACGTTGCTGCGTAAGGTTATTTTCCCCGATCGCAATTTCCTCCACATATGAACGGTAACTTTTGTTTCGCTTTGGCTCATATAGCCAAACCGCTTCACCCGAAAAACATCGTTCTGGTACAATTCATGACGAAAAGGACCAAAAACAGTTTCCAGATTGCAACCTTGGGCCACATCCATCACCAGCTGATGAAAACCACCACCAGCATTGTCGATAAAAAGCAACACTGCACCTGGTTTCATACTGTTGAAGATTTTCTGGATGAAAGAAAAAAGTACATGAGTCATGCATCATTATAAGTTACAGCAAATCACTATAAATAAAGCACAAAATAACTAACGTAAAAGACAATTACTTCAGCAGCAATGGAATCATTTACAGAAAACAATTCGGTACAATTCCTTCTATTTCAAAGAAGTAAAAGATAATTACCATAAATTATACTTGTTGCTGAAATAAAAGATAATTACCATTAATTACTTTTGCTGCTGAAGTAAAAGATAATTATTGTAGCATTAATTACTCTTGTTGCTGAAGTTAAAGCTAATTACTTCAACAGCAGTGGTATCATTTACAGAAAAAAGTTCAGTACAACTCCATTCTTAGACACTAGTGCTCAAAAAATAAGAAACAAACGCTAAAAAAAAGGTACACATGTTTAAAACATACAGTTTACATATGAGGTAGAGGTTGCATCGCCGAATGCAAATAGACAACTCAAATTAGCATAAAACGCAATTCCGCAGTCACACCAGAACGCCTTAAGAAGGGGCATGCTGGACCTATTCATGTGTTTACAAGCAGATATAGTTTCGTGCAGCAGCCGAAGGCAAGGCGCCGTAGATCACTAACAGCACGATAATTTGCGTGACACATCTCTCTGCTGTTCCAGGATATCCCATATCCCGCCAACCTGTGTTGCGTCGACTCAGTGGCATAGCTAGGGTGGATATCTGTCTCCGGGCGCAGCATCCAAATTGATGCTACGAAATTTTTTAATGAGATGTTTTCCATTCTTGGCACACAGAAGAGGCGCAAATTCTTCAGTTGTCCGCGAGGGCTGGAAACTCTAACTACGTCTCTGCTTCGACTGCATGAAGGTGGACTGCGCGCCCGACGACCTGTGGTTTGTATTTCCTTCTCCTCATCGCATGTCAAAGCGTGGTTGAATTGTGCTGGCGAACGTCGATGGTGGACACTAGAGCAATGGGGCCATGCCCTCTTTGCAGATGAGTCTAGATTTGACATCCAGAACGATTCCTGAAAGGCAATGATATGGAGAGAGCGAGGAACACGCCAAACATCGTCGAAAGAGACCATTACAGAGGAGCATGCTTATTTTCATGTGCTGGGATAGCACCGAACCTCTGATTCTTAGCGACTCCGTCACAGCCGTCCGATATCGCGACTAAATTCTACATCTTCTTGTAGCTCCTTTTATAAATGCAGTGGGTACCGACGCGATACTCATGAACGATAACGTCCGCTTGCGTAGAGCCGGAGGGCTGCGGAGTTATCTAGAGAGTGAAACCATTCCACATCTGCCGTAGCCTTAAACATTTTGGTGTGGGAACGCCATAATATTTACGACAATTTTGTGGGACATAACATTGCTTAAATGCGACGCACGCGTGATTGAAAGTGTAAGTTTCTTCACTTGTAATGTAATATATTATTGTAGTTTTAGGTCATTAATTTTAAAAGTAAAATGAACGTTTCTATTATAAAAAATGCGTCGAAACGTTTTCGTTTTTCCTTTGTATGTATTGATTTCCAAATACATTGTGGAAAAATATTTGGTAATTGTAAAATTATTATAATAAGTTAAAGAAGTATCAAAATTGCTAAAATTTTCGGCGACCCTCTACTGCAGCTCCCGCTACCCCAACTGGGGTTGGGACCCACAGTTCAAGAATGTTATAGAACATGTGTGGGGCATGTTGGGACGACGGATAGCAGGTGGCAGGGTTCCGTCAGGTATCCTCCACGAGCTTCAACTTGCATTACTACAGGAATGGGCGAAGAATTACTCCTAAAAATGAGAGAAGGGGTAAACGAAAGCTACTGAACTGGTGCATAATGCATTAGGTAAATGCCAATCACCCAGTGCCAGTAAGTAATAAACAAAAGATTACACAAAAGATATAATAAATACAAATACAAATTGAAATACTACATTAATGTAAATACAACAAAAAATTAATACATTCAGGGAGAACATATAATACATTACTTTTCCATCACAATGCTGGAGTTTTCAGTACTTCATGGATAACACTGTTTCGCACATACCAAGATGCATTGGTAATTTGACGTGAAACAGTTCTGCGCCATTTGTAATTGTTTTCTCTTTGTTCGACAACAGCAAGTCCAGACTGGATAGACAGAATATAGCATTGGACGGAGAATGGAGTTGTAAATGAAATAACTTGTTATCTACCGATAGAATTCTCGTTTTGAGCAATTAAGGGGTATAGTTTAGCTTTACGTACTCGAAATTCTGAATAAGAGCATATATGTGTGGGAGCCATGTGAGAAAATTTGTGATGCTCACCCCAAGAGAAATGACTTGCTTAGCTCAATGCAGAGTATTTCCAGAAAACTGAAGATGTTCGTCTATGATTTTCTTCCTCATAAACATTACTGCAATGGTTTTATCAACGCTTACTGGGAATTTACATTATTTCCGACAGGTATCTAATGCGATTTTGAAGGTCCTGAATGACTTTACTTTGCAATGCAGTTTTTGCAATGATCGCTATGTCATCAGCGTACATTGCAAGTGTACTGTTGGGTGTGCAAGGAATGTCGTTCATATAAATGTTAAATAATGTGGGGCCCAATAGGCTCTTTTGGGACGCCTGTTAAAATAGCTCGTCTCGTAGAATATGTGTTTGAAATGTGAACGACAAAGTGTCTACCTGAAAGGTAGGACTTAATTATGTGTGTAATGTAATCTGGGAAGCCCTCATTGTGTATTTTACAAATTAAGGCATCCATCCAAACGCGATCGAAGGCTTTGGCCACGTCGATAAGTAGGTCTCCTGTGAATTTCTTGTTTTGCAAGCCTTCAGAAATATGTTCAACAACCTTATACAACTTATAGGATGTAGATAAATTCCTAAGGAAACCAAACTGCTGCGGGATGAGGATGTTGTTTTTCATCTAGATGCTTCCTTATTCTAGTCAGGCTCACTGCTTCCATCAGCTTGCTAAGGTAAGGAAGAAGGTTCATCGGTCGATAACATCCAGGATCTGTCGTTGGCTTATTCGACTTTAGCAGAGGAGCAATTGTTACTCTTTTCCCTTCCCTCGGAAAGTATTGTCACTTCATGATGACATTGAAGATGTTGCTTTGAAGAGGGGACGTGTTTAATTAAAATGTATTAATCCGAAGATATATGAGCAATTGATTGCGATTAAGTTTAACAATTTTGTTTCACATTTTATATTTTACATATATGTAAGCTATAAACTATGAAAGAAAATTACTAATAAATTACTAATTTAATTGGCAACAACCCTTTTGATTTCTCATTTTATGTGCCTACAGTCCCATCAAAAAATCTGTGACATACAAAATCGTCGCTCAATTCATAAGGGGTTAAGGATCAGAAAAAAAAAAAAATCATAGTACTAAATTCATTACGCAGCTGTTGGCCATGCAGAAATACCCAGAGATTCACAGACTGGGAAACAATAGTGTAAAGCTGGGAAACAATAGTACAGACATATGCTAATCTCTTAATTGGCGAATAAAGTTGAATCATAATTCACAATTAACCCTTTCACGCTTATAAGAGAAATATAAGTCGTGATATGTTTGCGGAAAAATATGTAAGGTTACACAGTTTATTTTTTCCAATTTTAATATATTGTAATATATTGTATTAATTGGTACTATATGCACAGATGACGTACCAAATATATAAATTAACTTTTTCAGTGGCTTGACACGAGTTGGATTCACTACATGTCATGTCGCATCACTGTGTGTAATAACTTACTTACATCTTCTTTATCGGTGGTTCTTGTGTTCTATTGGCCAAACAAAGACACTTTCCTTTAACTAAATCTATTTAATGAAGAGAAGACTATGTACAAATATTATATACAGATTACAGAGTATCTAGTCTATGTCACTCTCAACCACTCTCATCAACCTCTCAACCCTCTCTGCCGAAACTCTTAATTAGCTAAACATACGGGCGGCGCAGCGCCCTCTATCTCTTTTTCTACATCACTCCCCACCTGTACTCTTTAATAAGAGTACACAAACTTACTTACATAACAATATCAACATTAATCAATAATGGATTAATACTAAATGGTATGACTATATAAATGAATAATATAAAAGAATAATCTATACTAGTATATCAAAGCCACAAATGAGCATAATAATTAATAATATAATAAACTCAATAATATCAAAGTTCTAATTAAATCTCGAAAGGATATAACATCTGGATCGATCTTCTGAATTGTCCTTTGGGCGTGCGAACAAGGCACGCTCGAACATGTCCATCTCTTCCTATAATCACGTTTTCAATTACACCCATGTCCCAAAGTAGTTTGGATTGTTTTTGGTCCTTCTACCAACACAATGTCTCCAGTCTTAATGTTCCGCTCAGTTTTAGGATTAGCAAAGTTATGCGCATTTCTAAGATGGAGTAAATATTGCTCTTTCCACTTGATCCATGTTAATTTTAAGAGCTTAGATTGGTAAAGCTTCCTTCTGGTTAAAGTCTCTTTGTCGGATACCTTGTTAAAAATTTCCAAGAAATGCTCGGGAAAGTTAAATGTACCACGTCCTGGCAATAAAAACTGTGAAGGTGTGAGCGGGCGAGGTTCACCCAGCTCGTTGCTCTCGTATGTTAGAGGTCTATTATTTAGCACACACTCGAGTTCAGTTAATATTGTAGAGAGCTCTTCGAAAGTCAGTAATGCTCTCCCTAAGATTTTCTTCAGAGGTTCCTTGATGCTTCTCATCAAACGCTCCCAGAACCCTCCCCACCATGGGGAACGCTCAGGTATGAATTTCCATGTTACCCTCTTTGGATGTCAAGAAATCACTCACACTTGGATCTGCTTTGATTCTTTTAAATCCTTTAATTATTTCACATGTGTTGCGGAAATTCTTGGCATTATCTGAAATAAATCACTTTGCAGCTCCCTCTTCTTGCTAAAAAACGTCGTAATGAAAAAATGAAACCTTTTGCTGACATATCTGAAACCACTTCAATGTGTACAGCAC